TCTTCCCTACTTTAGGAGTTCCGTGGGATTTGGAGCTAAGCACAAATGGTTGAGAACAGCATGACCTTGAAACCCACAAATTGTCCAAATCCTTGTCCAACCCATCTGTTTGCAGAGTGAGGGATGTTAGCAGACAGGCCTGTATCATCTCCCTCCCCTTCCATTTTAGAAACTGGTTTTGGTAGGAAGACCCTAAACAAAGGCAGGATTTGACTTCTTCAGTGGGGGCTGGAGAAAGAAGCCTAGGGGCTCTAACCTGCCAGAGAAAAAACTCTGGCTATTACTAGTAGTAGTATTTGTACTATGAACAGCATAATTACTATTCTCCAGGATGTGAGCCAAGTGCAATAAATATTCCTCACAATGACCAGCTCAGAAATGTCAAGTGATTTATTTAAGGTCATAAAGCATGGTCAGGACTAGGGTGAGATGAGTGAGGCACTTACGTCAGATGCAAATTTAAAGGAGTTTAAAAAAACTCAGTAACCAAGACAAATAATATTTTAATATTTTTTAAAATAAAAATTTTAACCTATGAGAAACAGAATATGAAACTTTTAAATAAAGCCAGGATCCAACCCTATACTTGCCTGACTCACTTCACTCACCTCACCCTCATCCCAGCTGAGACTAGAGCCAGGAATTTAATTCAAGTCTGGCCACTTCTGAAATTCATGCCCCTAGCCATCTCCCATCCCTCCTCTCTACCCCCCAATATGCTGCCCCAGAGCCAACTACTCAGAACCTTGAATTATGACACTTGAGCCATAATTCAGATGTGAGCTGAGAAAACCTGAAGATGCTTCTTTAAAAGCTTTGAGCAGATCATCCTGTGTGGCTCTACCTACTGGGCCAGGTGAGCAAGACAAGCAAAAACAACCTCTTCTCCACACTTTGGGGCTGAGTGGTGTTAAGTGGATAGGGAGGTGAAACTAGGAAGTAGGACTGGAAGGAAGGAAGTTGGTAAGAACCCTGATCTAGCCAGAAGCCCAGGCACCCTGAGTTCCATCCCTGACTCCAAACCCACATCAAGAGTCCCAGGTGGAGAAGAAGGATGTGAATTGGACCACTTCAAAACTGTCCATAGGCCTCTCCCACCCTTGCCCCTCTTACAAACCTCTGATTTGAACAGATTGGCATTCTTAACATTTTTATACCCAGCAAGAGCTGCCCTGCCCACAGTGGAAGTCAGGGTGGCCCTGACCATGTGATGGCTTGTCCATGCACTTTGCCTTCCTTGCCCCTGGAGAAGAGGAAGGGCTTCCTACCTGTGGTGGTGGGTGGTGGTGGACCTCCTAAGGCTCTGTGTTCATTGACAAGCTGAAGTAATCTCAGAGGAATGGATAGGCAGGGGCTAGAAATTGAAGCAAGAGATTCCAAGAGGAAGTGGTAAGCTAGGGCTTAGGTCTTGAAAAAGCAGCCCAGAACAGGAGATGTAGAGAGCTGATGATGATTCTGGGCCTTTGATTAAAACCAAGTGCAACTGGACTCCTGCTCCCTGGAAGTGCCTTGTCACATTCACTCACTTTTTTTCCCCAGAAGCTTCCAAAACCCTCAGTCAGGTCTGACTTTTTTCTTGGGGCAGAGAGGCCACAACTGCTGAGGGCAGGGGTCTGTGGCTAAGGAGAGACGTCTGCCTCCCGCTGTGTAAGTGGAAGCTCAGAGGGTTAAGTAACTTGCCAGGGTTTGCATTCCCCTGAGATTGACCTCAAAGCCCTGGCACTCCTCTACACACACACACACAGACACACACTCACTCACTCACTCGTGTGCACCATGCTCATGCACACACACACACCAGGCTTCTTTCTACAAGAGTGGGCTGGATCACCCTGCAGGATCACCTGGAGGCTTACTAAAGTGTCAATTCCTGGGCTGCCTCCCACTAAACAACAGCTTAGGTGTGCACAAACTTCTCATACTGTGAACAGGGCGAATTGCAGAGAACCACCCAAGTGATGGGGGGGGGTGGAGGGTGCACCCAGGTGCAGCTGGAAAAACCCCAGACAGGAATAAAATAGTGTTAATGGTCACATCCAGTGATAAAAGAATTAATCCTAGCATAAATTCCAAAATGAAATCTCATGGCATGTATTTTAGTAGATAATTCAGTACTGATACTAATGATACTATGTTGTTGCTATGCACCATTGAGTCGGACCGACTCATAGCGACCCCTCCTTGGGTTTCCAAGGTAGTATCACTAAGGAAGTAGATTGCCCCATCTTCATATTATACAATTGTTAAATATTCTGGTGCTCCAGGAAGACCCAGCTAGCAGAGTACAGCAGCAGGATGTCTGGGTCCACGATTTGCTTTTTCAATGGGAAAGGCTTGCACCCAGCCTGGGCCTGAGCCCGCAAAGCCCAGCGCCACCAGAGGCTTCCTTTCGCTGGATCCGTGATCCAAACTGGACCCTAACACCCAGAGGCCAAAATGGTCCGAGCGCTGCCAGCTGCCCATCGGCCCCGGAAGCTCTGGGTACCATAGCAAGCAGAGGACACGAATGCTCTTGGGGCCTAGCTGAGCCCTCAGATCCTGGCCCAGCGGCGGAAAGACCTTTAACAGATCCGGGAGGGTGGGTCCCGTCGACCCAAGTTGGGACCTCGAGCGCTCCGGGGGAGATGAGGTTCCTCCGGTGTTGCCAATGCTGGCGAAAGTCCGGGAAACGGGTGGGGTGAGCAAGTAGGGAGGGGAGCGAGGTCTCCAGAGGCTTGGAGAGCCGCAGCTAGGCCACGCTGGGGGCTGACCGGGAAGAGTCGAGCAAGCCCGCGGTGCTGGTGATTCAAGTCCCCTCCCCATGCACCAGACTAAAACCAACCACCAGGCTTGGCCCCGCGGCGGGAGGCACCCAGTGCTCCGAGCGCGGCCCGGAGCCGCTCCGCTCGCGGCTCCTCGGTGCCCCGCCCTCTCGCCTCCCCGACAGCTTGCAGCCGAGCTCGGCTCTCTGTCCCTGGGGAGCCGCCCGTCCTCGCCCCCAGCCCGGCCGACGGCGAAGCCGCCTCCAATCTGCCGGCAGGCGCAGGCGGAGAGCGCGGGGAGCCCGGCATGAGGCCACCGCTAGCCTCGCTCGAGGGAGGAGAAAGTTTCTGCTCCGCCCGGACTCGCAGGGCTTCATGGCCTGGCCTCCAATTTGGAGAATGAGGACGTTTTACTATTCTGCAGCGGTCTCGGACTCTAGTCTCGGATAATGTTCTGGGGTCCTTGGGGGTTGGCAGGAGCTCGTGGGCCACGCTGCCTGGGCTCCAGACGTGGGGAGGGCAAACGGCTCTCGGGCCCGCCTGCCCTGCTCAGACTCGAATCCTCCACTCCTTCCCTACTTTGGCCGCAGACGCGGGTCTCTATCCCTGGGGCTGTATGGAGAGGTGCCAGGCCCGCGACGCGCTTCTGATCTGACCGCCATCCTGGACCTTGGCACGACCCCAAAAAAGCAAGGAACTAGAGCATTGTGGTGGGGTGGGAAAGGCGAAGGGGTCGTTATTCACAATGAAAAGCCAATGTTTCCAGTGTTGCCTTGAAAATACCTCCCGGGAAGAGCTCCAGCTCCGCGCAGATTAACAAGCCATTCGAAGACGCCTACTCTCACACTCGGAAGCTCTGTGCGTTCCTGCTCAGAGGTAGAAAAAGACGCATGCCCAGGGACACGCGCTACAGGAGGGAGCATGAGCTTGGAGGACGGAGATGCACCGCTTTCTTTGTCCACTGCACTACCTCCCCTGCACAACATGGATTTCTCAGGGTCCCCCAAGGTTCTGGACATTCAGGTCTGACCTGCCCCCTTCTCCACTCCCGTCCAGGTGATGCCATCGCTCTAGTCACTTCCCAGGGCAGACACCTGGCATTCGACCCCCGCCAGACTCGCACGGTCCAAAGAGGGCAGAAAGAGGGGGTTGAAAATTGCCCTACACAGAAAACATCTCGAACATAACAGAAGCGCTCTGAAAACAACATAACAAATTCTGTTTTCTTCCCAGCAACGGAAAAAGTGTTCATACACACACCTACTTCTTTCTTCGCCGAGTTCAATCCCTGTCTGTCATTGGAGGAAGAAAAACGGGGACAAAAAAGATCTACGACAGCCCTACGACAAATAATTTGAGTAATTGTGAGAAAAGGTTGGGGAAAACTTACAAAACCGCACATCCCAAGCCACCGACAGCGGCAGCCGGTCTCCAGCCCCCTCCCCGCCAGCCCGTACCCCCCTCGGCTAATCACCCTCATTAGGAGCTTCATCACCGGCCTAATGAAAGCAAACTGTGTGGAAATCGCCGGTAAACAGTTGGGTCTGTGCTGTAATTAATTCAGTGTCTCTTTTAATCAAACTGAAAGGGGATCGGACAGCGGCTTGCGGAGCTGTGACATCACCCCCAAAATCGGCCGGAGCCAATCAGCGTCACCACTCCGGGGACACGTGGGCGAGTCCCCTTTAAAAAAAAAAAAAAAAAAACACAACACAACGGGGAAAAAAAGGGGAAAAAAAAAAACAGCCCCAAAGTAAAAGTGACACAAGTACGTTTTTTAAAGGAAGGGGGGGAGGCGAAGGCGCGCTCGGCGGACGGGCTGGGAGCTACAGTGAGGACTCGACAGGCGCTGTCCACGGTGCTGACTGGCCCCTGGAGCGGCGTGAGCGCGGGGAGAGGACCTCTGGGCCAGGTGGAACATCATGCAGCTGCAGCCGCTATCCGCGGTGCTGACGCCGTCAGGTGCGCTCGGTCCCGCCCGCCGGTAGCTGCAGGGCCCACCGCTATCCGCGGTGCTGACCCTCTGTCTTTGGCCACCGCTCTCCCGGAGGAAGCTTGCGGTTTGGATTTTTAAAAAGCCGTTTATTTAAATTCCAACATCCTCGCATTTCGTCTGTGCCAAAGGGGCGTTCAGGGTGTCCGTCTCCTTCTTTGCTCTCCCCAACTTGACGCGCCCTCCCTCCCGTTTCTCCCTGACACTCCCACCACCCCCCCTCGGCTCGGTGGCTCGGCGCGATGCTGCTGAAGACGCACTGAGCCCTCTTGGATCTAATGCGCAGAGAAGGTTGGCCCAGAGCTCCCCGGCTCCCCCAAGGCTGAACTCCGTCCAAGGTGCCCGCAGGCTCCCTGCCCGCCTTCCCCATGCCAGCCCGCAGCTAGGGGCAGGGGCAGCGTCGGCTGGGGTTGGGGGTGGGTGGGGAGCTTTTGGGGAGGACAGGTCGCAGCTTGGCTATGGAAGGCTCCAATGGCTTTGGGATCGACTCCATTCTCTCCCACCGCGCGGGCAGCCCCGCCCTTCCCAAGGGGGACCCCTTGCTCGGGGACTGCCGCTCGCCCCTGGAGCTGAGTCTGCGCTCGGAGAGCAGCAGCGACTGCTCTTCACCAGCCTCACCAGGAAGGGACTGTCTGGAGACGGGTGCCCCGCGACCTGGAGGGGCATCGGGCCCAGGTTTGGACTCCCACCTGCAGCCTGGGCAGCTCTCCGCCCCGGCCCAGTCGCGCACCGTCACCTCCTCCTTTCTGATCAGGGACATCCTTGCCGACTGCAAACCACTCGCGGCCTGTGCACCCTACTCTAGCAGTGGGCAGCCGGCTGCCCCAGAGTCTGGGGACCGCCTTGCAGCCAAGCCTGCGGAGGACTTTAGAGACAAGCTGGAGAAAAGTGGCAGCAATGCTTCGTCGGACTCTGAGTATAAAGGTAAGAAAATGGGAGATGAAAAGTTGGGGGGGGGGGTTGGTGATGCTACATTTCTAAAAATTCGTATTTAAAAACTTGAGTGAGCACATGTGAGGTGGCATGAACATGGGCGCTTTGGAGCTCCCCGAGGGCCCAGGCTGAGCTGTTGGACTTCCCTGAACCTTTCAGTCAGCCCTGTGGCGATGCCTTTGAGCAGCACAGAGTTGAGGCAAGAAGGAGGGGGTAATCCTGGGTGCTCAAGAGAGATTTTCTCAAATGCAGAAAACAAACTTTCTAAACTTTGGCTGGGACCCTCGTTTCCAGAGGTGTTGGCGAGCAGGAGTGGGTTCCTAGGAGGCCAGTGGATCTCCAGGGAGCAACCTTTGCAGAAGCAACAGATGACCCAAAGGGTTCTGCTTGACCACATTTTATTAAAAGAAATACTTAGGAAGAAATTCCAGCTGGAGACCTGAGAACAATCAGAATTTTCCACCTTTTGATCTAAATTTCCAGATGGGAAGAGAAACTGGGGTCTCCCTCCCATTGGGCCTAGTGAATCCTACAAAAGAACTGCTCACTTCAAATAAGACACAACAGCCAGGTGGCTGGCTTGGAGCAGGTTCAGAGGTCTGGTGGAAAGGGGAGGACCCCACAGCCACCAGTTGTTCTCACTGAATTTCATGATTCTCACTTAATGATTTCAAGCATATTGAACAATAAATCAATCCCAGGTCGTCTGGAGAACCCAGGCGTTCCTGAGTAACAGACCTCATTTCTCCTGGACTGGGGCTGCCTTTTCACTCCTGTGAATATTTTTTGTTGTTATTGTTCCCTTTTCTTCTCCATCTCATTTTAACCAGGGAGCTGAGATTGACATTAAAAAGAAAGGGAGAAGGAAAGAGGAAGGAGTTCCATAATTTTGTTTCTTCCTTCCGTTCCTACCTCACCCCCAAAGGCTCTGGGGCCAGAGATGCAAAGTTCTTTCTAGGAAGGAGTCAAGAGTCAGAAGGTGAGAGGAAGGAGTGCCAGCACTTCAAGGGAGAGAGCCTTGTGTCCCAATGTAGCAGAAAACCTGGGGCTGCCAGGGGTCATTCAGAGCTCTCCTTTCAGCTTTATAAAGAATTCCAGGAACCCGTGTCATGAGAAGAAATTTCTCGGTACAGGCAAAGTCTTTATTGTTGGGGCCCCCACATTTTCTGGCCCCTATATGTATTAAGGCAGCTACACACATTTTCAGAAATGCTTTTTAAAACACCTTCCTCCCAGACAATAATTCATCTTGCACATACCCCAGAGGGAAACTCATTTGGGCCCCATCCCCTATACACGTCCTGCCCCTCGCCGCTTCCCAAGCAAATGGCTGGATAAAGGAAGATATCCTTCTGGCAGGCTGGGCCAACCATTGCCTAGAAAACAGGCAGGTTGAACAGAGCACCCAGGAAGGAAGCCCAGAGGAATGTGAGTGCTGGAAGTACCGGCACCTTGGCCCAGTGACTCTTGCTCCTCCATCTGGAGCCTGTTTAGAGACAGGCAAAGAAAATTTGCCCTGAAAAAAAAAGACAGGGATCTGTGTGTGTGTGTGTGTGTGTGTGTGTGTGTTGTTTGTGTGTTGTGCAGGAGGAGGCAATGCAAACGTGTATTTATAACATCATGTTTTATTATTTATAATTTTCATCATCAACAACAACAAAAACCCAGCTTTACTGTTAGGGCAAGATGCAAGACTCTCCAATGTTGTGTGCTAATGGCTGGTGTCAGTGGTGATGAAAAGAATTTGGACCTTACCTCTTTTTATCTCTTTGCCCCCAGGAAGCATTCTGAGGAGAGGTTTCGTTTAAGATAATTGGAATATCAGTTCCCTTCTCCTGCCCCTGATGATATCTAGATGATATCTAATCAGGGAGGTGACGAGGGCCGGCTGTCCACACAGCGCTTAAATGGGTTTGGCTCAGAGAGAGATGGAAGGACCCTACTCTTTTCCAGGCTTGGCAGCCTTTGCGACTAGAAAGTCCTGGGGTGAAAACAGGAGTGGGCACTTCAGCCCATGAGGAGCCTGGAGCGTTTCTTAAACAGGGAGGTGACTTTTTCTGAGTCTGAGTTCGGGAGTCCTATAGACAGACATGCCAGGTATAGCCGTTTAAGCCCCTCTTCCTCCACCTTCCACACCATAGTCGTTTCCTCTACAGCGGATGTGGAGAGAAGGTCAATTTCATACGGAATAAAAGTCTCCTCAAGCATAATATTTAAAGAAGCTGAAAGCAGGCTTTGAGGTAAGACGGTCTACTGCCAACAGTAGCCGCTGGAGCCCAGGTCGGTGGAGAAACCCACGGTTTGCTCAGAGCAGGCAGAGTCGGTGGGCCTCGAACTCCCGGGCCTTGGGATGCGGCCTCCGGGATGGGAATCCGGGAAGCCCAGGTCTCATCCGGATGAGCTCAGGAGGCCGAGGCCGGGCGGCGCGGAGTGCACACGACAAGGGTCCAGCCTGCGCTAGGGTAGGACTGGGAAAAAGCCCATCGCTTCCCGAACAGGTCAACACAATCCCTTCCGTTCACCTTACCCTCAGCGCCGAGAATTAGGGGATTTCATAAATGGTCTGGACAATTAGGCAAAAAAAGTAGGGTTCCTGCAACATCAAGCTTGAGCTTGGCTTATTCTGATTATTGTTTCCGCGCGTTTGTTTGAGTATTACCTCGTCTGCAGAGATAGAACTCGGGTTTCCCTCACCCCAACAGGCCCGGGTCTCAGGCGGCGGCCCTAGCCCCTACCCCGGGAGTGCCCTGGTGCCCGCCTGGAGGAGGCGTGGGAGGAGGGGCGCGTGGGCCGGGGGTTCTCCCCGGCGCTCGGCCCGCTTGCCCGCCTCCGAGCACCGGCGCCCACGCCCTCCCGGCCGCGAACCGCTGCCTTTCCTGTTGAAAAGTCTCTCTCAATGAACCGGATTATTGTTTTCTACAGAGAGAAATCAACTGTATTCGGCTGAACTGTGTCACTGCAAACGCCATGCACCATGAAACTCTCCATTTAAAATATAGAGAGAGAAAGAAAGAGACAGAGAGGGATCAAAAATGAAGGGGTGTGAATTTCCAGCCCGCGCCGCCAATTTCTGGGAAGTGGCTCTTTGGTTACATAATCGCTCGAGGGGCAGAAGGGAGAAGATTGAGCTTGCTCTGTCCTGTGCGTTTGCGGTAGTCCTCCGGCACCAAAGTGTTGGGGAAAAAGAAATCAGCCTTGTCCCTTCCATCCTTGCGCCTCAAGAGCGGGGACTCTTGTGCCCGCCTGTAACGACTATGGGGCGTAGATACACGACCACCACGCGGAATGATGAGGGCCACAGTGGGCATTGTACATACACCGAAACACAGACCTCCGCAACTTGGGCACCCAAGGAGCGAATGCGACACGGAGTCGTTTATTTCAAGTGCTTAGCGCTCCCAGATCCCGGCACCCGCGACTCCCTCTCGCACCCGGCCTTCCACAGCGCACAGTTTGTACGCAGCTTAGGTGTGGGGGTAATAACCTTCACTGCATATCCGTGTCCACTTAGGAGGCACCCAGGGTGCGGGGGCAGTTATTTGTTTTTTATTTGTTCTTTAGGACAACGAATTGTTCCGAGGGGAGCAGGTTTTGTCTCTCCACGCGGGTTTTTCTTCCCAGACTCTGGCCTTCACCTTTCTCTTCCCAGCCCCAGACACGGGCGGGAGGCTAGGGGCACAGAGTCTCGGAGCCCAGACCTGCACCCCTGAGAAGGCACTCGCCGCTGGGACCAACCCGCGCACAACTGGCAGGGTCCAGCTCCGCCGCTGCGTTGATTCCTCCAGGGAACGCGTGTAGCGCAGGAGCACGGCGGCAAGCCAGCGTGGTGAAATTCTCCCGGCTTTGGGTTCTTTTTGCCGGAGCTGCCAGCTTCCGCTGCCGTTCACACCCTGGTACTGGGAGCCCAGACGACTCGGCTCATAGCGGCTCTCCGGCGGCCGCACGCACTCGGGCGCAACTGGGCCACCGCCGTCGTGAGCTGCGTTTACACGAACGCGACGGGCCAGCGGCCGGCTGGGGTGAGCAGGCGGGCGGGCGTGTGGGTGGCGAGGCCGGGCCCTGACGCGCAGCTGTGTCTCCGCAGTGAAGGAGGAGGGCGACCGCGAGATCTCCAGCTCGCGGGATAGCCCCCCAGTGCGCCTGAAAAAGCCGCGCAAGGCTCGCACGGCCTTCACCGACCACCAGCTAGCACAGCTGGAGCGCAGCTTCGAGCGGCAGAAGTACCTGAGCGTGCAGGACCGCATGGAGCTCGCCGCCTCGCTCAACCTCACCGACACGCAGGTCAAGACCTGGTACCAGAACCGCAGGTGAGGCCTGGCTCCTCCTTATACCGCCTCTCCAGGAGACTCTCCAGCCCACAGCCTGGTGCTAAGAAAGGGTCCTTAGGCATCCCTCATTCGGTGAAAGCAGGAGAAGCCATACCCAAAGTCCTACGGTGAGGGTCAGACTACCCACTTATCCTTGTCCAGGGTAGACAGAAAGCCACATCTCCCACGACCGGGTCATGCCTGTAGTCCCCACCAGGCCCAGCCCCTAACCTCGATCTGGTGGTCGCTGAGCCCTGAGCCCTCTTGGTGGAAGTCCCAGGCTAAGGTAGGGGTGGCGGTTCCAAGCGCCTCTAGGGGAAGAGTACAGGTGGCCAAGCGGCCCAGGGGTGCCCTGGAGTGAGGCCCATTCCCAGTGGCCTCTGCCGGCACAGCGGAGTTTGCATTGGGCCCCCTGAGCTCCCGCTGAGTCTCTCCAAGTCCTAAAATCCCGCGGGACACTCAGCCTGGCCCCTGGTCGTTGCGGACAGGGTGACCAGAAATCGGTGTTAAAAAAGTGAGGAAGGCGGCCCTGAGCTTTAACCTGACGGTCCTTAATCTCCGTCCCTAACGCACTGAAAGGAGCAGATATAGCGTACATCCCCCCACACACATCCACCCACTTAATGGGTCAACCACAGCACAACCACACACGTACACATACCCGCAGACACACTACGAACTCGAAGGGGAAGCCGGAATGGCGCTTTCCATAAACAAGCCGCAGAACACATCACCCCATTAATAATAAATACCGATTACTGCTCGGGGCATCAATAATTAAGGCCCGTTACAGTAATTACACAATTATGATGATGATGAATAATTCAGGGAGGGAAACGGGGCTGGTGTGGCTGAGCCCGCTTCAGTGGGACCCCGGCCCGCCAAATGAGCCTTAGGGGCCGACCCACAGGCTCTGAGAACAAACGAGTGTGACCTTGACTTCTTTGACTTTCTCGAGCCCCGGGCGATGCCTGGCTGGTGGCCTCCAGACTTCGGAGCCAGATGAGACGCAGGGCTTGCCCCAGGCCTCAGACCGAGGCTTGGGGCCCAGCCACCTCGCTGCAGTCAGTGGCGTCGGGCAGGAGTAGAGGCCGGGAGGGGTGTGCACCCAGCCGCTTCCGTGGAGGCTGAGCCGCAGGGCATGTACCCCTCCCCGCTCCCCCCGCCCCGTGTCAGCCTCAGCTTGACCACGCAGGGAGAAACCTCCTCTCCTCTTTCCAGACCTAGTGACCCAACTCCCTGGCCCCGGTGGCCTCTTCAGTGCCAGCCCATCTTCCTTATGCCTCTGCAGGGGTGCCCACTTCGGTGGAGCCCCAACACCAGGGTTTGGAGTCAGACAGCTTGGCTTAGAATCTGGGTTCTGCTGATTTCGAGTCCATCTCGGAAAATGGTTCACGCCTCAGTTTTCTTATCTGTAGAATGGGGATAAACTATGGGAGGCTAATGGAAGATGAAATCAGACCATACATGCAACGCTGGGAACATTTGCTCGGCACTCCGTTATTAATTAACAAATTAGTCAGGCACTTGGGAGGGGCAGGGATCGCCAGAAGCTGAAGCTCTGACCCCGACGTGCGTGTTTATTTCGGACTCTAGGACTAAATGGAAGCGACAGACGGCCGTCGGGTTGGAACTGCTGGCAGAGGCGGGCAATTACTCAGCGCTCCAGCGGATGTTCCCGTCGCCTTATTTCTACCCGCAGAGTCTAGTTTCCAATCTGGACCCCGGCGCCGCGCTCTACCTGTACCGCGGCCCCAGCGCACCGCCGCCCGCCCTCCAGAGACCTCTGGTGCCCCGCATTCTCATCCACGGACTCCAGGGCGCCAGCGAGCCGCCCCCGCCGCTGCCCCCGCTGGCTGGCGTCCTCCCGCGCGCTGCGCAGCCTCGGTGAGGCGCCCGCCCGAGGCCCGGCCCGGCTAGCCCCGGCATCCCGGGTGCCCCTCCCCGGATCTCCGCGCTCGCCCCTTCGGCCCGCCCCCGGGAGGGCGCAGGTTTCAACTCTTCTTCTCCGGGAGGGAGGCTCCTGTCTGGCCCTCGTCGGTGTCCCAGCCCACTGTCCCCCCAGAAGGGCCAAATGCCAAGTCTACTGAGGCCCAGACCCCGGGCTGAGTCTTCCCTCCCCGGCGTCCCGGCCGCTCCATCAGGGAGCCACCTCCACCCGCGGATGTACATATTCGTCTCTGCCCCCTCCCCGCCGGCTCCCCAGGCGCCCCTTTCCTCCTTGGGGCAGGTGGGGAGAACCCCCCCGCCTCGCTCTCTCCCCCTGCCCTTCCACGCCCCAGCCGTACACCAACCCCTCTCTCCGCACCCCTGGTAGAGGGAGCGGAAGGGGCGAGCGGGACCACGCCCTCCCCCCAGCACCCGGGCCGGCGGCTGAGCTGTACATACTGTGTGCAAAGTGTATATGAAGTTATTTATTCGTGACCGTGTCCGTGAATCAGTGAGTCTGTGGCCTGTGCCCTCTCCCTCCCGGGCGGGGCAGGAAGGGGTCAAAGGGGCTTGCTTACCCACCTCCAGCCTCACCTCCAGCCCCGGCCCGGGGTCACCCAGGCCCCTCGGGTTCTCTTTCTTTCTCTTTTTTTAAATGTCGAAATAAACTTCTTACAAATGACCAGGCGCCTGTCGGCGCTCGCATCGATGGATCTGCGCTCAGCCCTTTTCTTCCCGACCCCTCTTTAAGCCACTACCCTCTCCAGGGACTTTGTTTCCTTCCATCCTCAAGAACCAAGTATTTTTGTCCCCTTTCTCTTCCTTGGTGCTGTGCTCGTGTGTGTGTGTATGTGTGTGGGGGGGGATTGGCCGCACTGGGGCTTTGGGCAGGGTCTCCCGGCCTGGCCTCAATCTTGGGGCCACCACGAGAAGGCGAGCCCCTTCCTCGGCTCCCCGGCTTCCTTCCCGCTCCCAGCCAGTCCGGGGGCCGGGGCAGGGGAAGGGCGGGAGTTAGTGCTCGGCCGTCGCTTGGCTGCGGTGCCCTCACTGAGCCGACTCATCTGGTCGCGACAAGGGTGCCGGCAGCTGGCGACCGGCTCGCTGGGCGCGGGGCCGACAGATGGGCTCCGAGGCTGCTTGCTCCCCCCGCTCTGCGCCCCGGCCGGCCGGGCTCGGGCTCCGGACGCTCGTGGGCGCCCAGGCTGCTCCTGCCTCCCGCGCTGGGTGGGACCCGACGCGCTTTCGCCACGAACCTGACGCCACTTCGGGTAACCCCCACTGCCACATCTTCTCACTTCTTCTTTTACCCCGAGAATAAGTTGGTAATGAGACTTAGTGGGGCGAGAAATTCCAACTTCTGCCTCCTTCCCCACCTCTTCCTGCCCTGTGGCTCCAGAATCTCAGGAAAGTGGATTTCAGTCCTCAGCCAGATTCGAGGCCTCTGGTTCACATTCAAAGGGCTAAGGTCACCTGTTTCCTTTGTGGGGAGACTGGCGCAGGTGCTCCCCTTCTCCACACCACCTGCAGCCCACTGACCACCAAGACGTATGGAACGCCCAGGGCTGGAAGTTTTGGACCCAAGTAGAGTTGTGCACCTGGGTTGCTCTGGGAGAGGCCTGCCTTGCAGAGGACAGGTGGGGGCACATTTAGACTCTAACCCCTAGTGAAAACCAGAGCCCTGCTTGGTCTGCTACTGTTTCCTCCCCGCCCCCCAACACACTCACACCCAGCTTCTCTTTCCTGGGATGGTGAGGGTATTATTCTAATTTTGCAAAATGCACAGCAGCTAATGAAGTAGAGGAGCCCCTCGGCTTTGGAGTTCTTTTGCATGTGAATGGGGGTTGGAAAATCCCCAGCTCTGGCTGTGGTGGGGGGCGACGGGGGGATTGTCCCCAACTCAGGGTTAATGAAGTGGGAAAGGAGTCTCTCATAGCCTCCTGCAAACAAACCCCCCAGGCAACAAACCCTGCCCAAATCCTACATGGATTGACTTAAACCCAGGGGATAAGTGCTTTAAATTAATCTCATTGAATAAGAATGAGACCAAACAAAACTCTTTAAAATCATATTAAAAATCTATCAAAGGACAACTTGCACTGGTGTGCTTTTCATTTTGTGAAAGTGGAGGAGGCAGAGGCGCGCAGCCACCCTCACATTTACACAGCAGCAGTGTAAACCACAGACACATTCTCCGCTATGTAATTGTCCTTGTACCGCAGAGGCGATTTCATATCTTACATTAATGAAGAACAAGGCTCACCTACAAGTTTATAATTACAATATTTTAAATTGTCCTGCAGTTCCCATCTGTAATAATAACTTTACAACCTTTGCAGTGAGGTGGGCTTTAACTTTCATCCATTTAGAAGACTAAATTGGTTTCTCTGTTCCCGACCCTGGGGCTGGGTGAACTCTCATTTAAAATAAAGAAGAAGGTGAGCATCTAAGCAGGCAGAACAAGAGAGGCGAGAAAAGGCACCTCAGCTCGCAGGGGTGGGGGTGACAAAAGTTGAAAAGAAGTTTAGCTTCCCCTCCCAGCCAGCGTCCAGTTGCAAGGCTGCTGGGAATTTCTAAGTTGAGCTGACTCTCGGTGTCTCACTGTCCCCTGGTTCTGGGCTTTTCCTGTGGTAGAGCAGATTAAGAGATAAGGAGGGCAGTCATAGAGGCGGTTAACAAGGCCGGTTGTTAGTGAAGTGGCCTTTTCAAGCAAGGCAACTTCTCCTGTGAAATTTGTCTAGGATGCGACTGTTGGATTTTAATGGCTTCCACTGATTTTATGTCGAGTGGCTCAAGTGCTAAAAGGCTAGGCCACTAGTCTGGAATATACCTGCCTAGAGAGGCTCTTGTTTATTCCCCTTTTCATCCCTAAGGCGTACCTCCTGTCACTGG